AGGATGGCAACAAGGATGATCAGGGAACTGGAAACCGAGCCCTAGGAGGAAGGACTAAAAGATCTGGGCATGTTTAGCTTGAGAAAAGAATACTGAGGGGAGAGATGATAGCACTTTTCAAAGACTTGAAAAATAGTCATCTTGCAAAGTCCAACTTCATGATCCTATGATTCTATGAAGCTAATAATGTATTTTTGCCTTTTTATCAGCACGTCTGCGGAGACCGCTTCTGGATTGGGTTGCCTTGATTGCCAATTTTTGGATAAACCTTTTTTGGAGGGGGTTTGAGGAATTGTAGCCCCAGCCAGGATTATTTCAGCTTCGCAGCCGTGCACGTTCCTGTACGCTAGGCTGGTCCTCATCTTGCAGACGTGCACCGGCTGGGGAAGGCGGGAAACACCCCCCCCCATGCTCGTGCGCATGCACAAACAGCAGCGTGGCGCTTGCATGGGCATGCTGGAGCACGCGTGCAGGCACAAATGGGCTGTGCGGGGGTGAGTGTGTGCAGGGGGTGGGGTGGGAGGTCTGTCTTAGCAGCCCGGTCAGGCTCAGGCCACGGACCAGCACCGGGCCGCGGACCGAGGAGTTGGGGATCTCTGATTTAGAGGAGGGGCAGGATCTGTTCTCGATCATCCCAGAACTCAGGACACGTGACAATGGGCTCAGGTTACAAGAAACCAAATTTCAGTTGAATATCAGGAAAAACTCCCTAACTGTTAGAGCAGTACGACGATGGAACCCATGACCTCAAGACATGGCAAGCACTCTGACCCTTGGAGGCCTTCAAGAGAAACTTAGGCAACCACCTAGCAGATCTACAGTACATTGATTCGGATTCCCGCACTGAGCAGGGGGTTGGACTCGATGGCTCGATAGGTCCCTTCCAACTTCATGATCCTATGATTCTATGAAGCTAATAATGTATTTTTGCCTTTTTATCAGCACGTCTGCGGAGACCGCTTCTGGATTGGGTTGCCTTGATTGCCAATTTTTGGATAAACCTTTTTTGGAGGGGGTTTGAGGAATTGTAGCCCCAGCCAGGATTATTTCAGCTTCGCAGCCGTGCACGTTCCTGTACGCTAGGCTGGTCCTCATCTTGCAGACAGCAAGGCAACCACTTTGAATCAAACCTTCCTCCCACGGGATTTTGGAGTGGGGTCCGGACATGCTGGGAGAGTCTGCCTGGTCTGCAACGAGAGCCTTCTGCACATGCCTAAGCGACTAACTTTCCCAAAGACCCAATTCCCCCCCCCCTCCATGAAAGGGAAGCTAGGCAGGACTGGAGCCACGGTCTAGAGAAGGGGTGGGGGGGGGCACACTCAAATGTCAGGGACTGAGATGATAAAAAGAAGTTCTGCCAACATGGATGAGATAGCAAAGCTATTCCGGTCCTCTTCTGCCTTCTGCTTGGGAACACAGCCCGGGGGGAAAACAAGCTCATCTAAAGGACATTCCATTCGCAGTGACCAAACTGCCGCCTAAGGAGTCTTCCTAGCTCACCTCCCACCATCAGCCCCGCTTTAAACACCATCCTTGTTTTCAGAGACGTCCGGGAGCCCACAGATCATGGGGCCAAAATGCTGAGGATTTTGATGCAAAGGCAAGGTCCCCCTGCCACCCTCTCTCCCTCCCTCCTAGATGTGCCATAGAGTGGCTATGTCTCCATCTTGAGCCTTAAGACGTCATGGTTTAAAATTCTCTGGGATCTAGGATATGGACCTAAAAGACGAAACAGGAAGCGGCCACCCTGATAGCCCTAAATTTGGGGTTCATTGTCACAGCATCACTTTGCCATGCTCAGAACTAGAGATGGGCACAAAACACCAGTTCGGTGATTCGTGCGAAGCTTCTGCCATTTGATTTATCCGCCAAACAGGTGTTCAGTGCTTCGAAGCTCTGCCTCCTCCAGCAGGTGCCCCCTTAGAGGCAGCGCTCAGAGGAGGCAGGGTAGGGAAGCCAGGCCGTTGCCTCTGAGTGGGTGCTTCCTAGAGGAGGCGGGGCTTTGAAGTGCCAATCAATTGTTTGGTTGATAAATGAACCAACACAAACCACTGAACCATCGTGCCCATCTCTACTCAGATTCTTTGTTTTTGTTCCCGTTGCTTGGCCTCCTTGGAAACGGCTGCTGCTCCTAGAATCAAAACATGGACCCTGACATCCCTCTGCCATAATAAGCTGTGCCACCCATGCCATTTTACAATCATCCTGTCCCAGCAATATTCCAGGGGATCACAAGGATCACCAGGTCTCGGGGAATGTGTCCATCAGAGAGATAAACCCCAGGAGAAGCAGCGCTTGAACGGCTGAGGAAGACAAATTCGATTTCATGGTGCGTAGTGGCTTTAACAGCTGCCGGCTGCTCTTTCCAGGTCCCCATTGGTTCGACAAAAGGCCGAGATAAGGTGTATTGCACGTGGCTTTAACAGCTGCCGGCTGCTCTTTCCCGGTCCCCAAAGGCCGAGATGAGGTGTATTGCACACACAAAAATTGTGGAGAAGGTTGTGCAAAAAAATCCATGTTGTCCATCTTAATCAGATGCACACATCATGTTTTACATTGTGATGCAAGCATTGCTCTCGTATGACAAGGAGCTGCCAGCATAGTCTTTGGTTTTGGAAAAACACTGATTTGGCAACCTTGTGCCCCATCGCCCGGTTTTACATTGTGATGCAAGCATTGCTCTCATATGACAAGGGGCTACCGAATAGTCTGGTTTTGGAAAAACACTCATTTGGCAACCTTGTGCCCCATCGCCCACGTAACACCAGAAGCATCTGATCCTCAGATCTTTGACATTTTTGGGGGGGTGGCATCTATTTGTAAGCATCCTCTGCGTTGGGGGTTGGCGTGGGCAACAGCTGGACCTCCAGATGTGGCTGCTCTACATCTCCCTATGGTGTTAGCCAGCACAGCCAGTGGGGAGGGATCATAGCTGCCAGTTGCCCACCCACAAAATATAAGTGAAGTAATGTTTCTGAGCTCCTGTATCTGCAGCTTAATCAAAGAGACTCCGGGATTCTGAAAGAGCGGTCCAGAAATGTAACTTTACAAAGCTCAACCAATAATAGCATTCAACACAGGACGTGCGCACACACCTCAAGCAATTGCTTATCAGAAGCTTTTTATTATTCAGCAGAACCAGCTGAATGCAATATTGTTCACACAAAAAACATGACAATGGAGAACAAGGAGAATTTGTACATGAGAGTACAGTAGGACTCCTGTATCTGTGGAATTGGTATCCGCTGATTCAGTTATCCACAGTCTGAAAATATTAAATATATTAAAATTAAAATCCTGGAAATATATATTTCTAAAGCTGATGTTACCAGACTGGCCACTAGAGGGTGCCAGGGACCATGCTATGTGTAACAATCGTTTGCTGTTATCCACATGTTTCAACATGGGGTGTGTGTGTGTCTTGGAACCAATCCCCTGTGTATACAGGGGTCCTTACTGTATTATATATTTAAAAAACTGCCCGATGCCAAATTAAACTACTTCTGCATTCCATCCTGAGATCAGAGCCATTCCAAGACACATTGATGTCTAGGCCAAATCAACATGACCTAACATGACCAGGTAAATCGGCCAAGTTATTTTGGTACATGATGCATCCAGTCACACATGTACCTCTTCTCCCTTCCTTAGAGTAAAGTTGCAAATTTCCCATCCACATGTCTTTTGCCCAGTGTGCCCTTACATCTAAAGTAGACCCTGGTTCACACTGCTGTTTCAAGACACCCTTGATATGCTGTCCAAAGGGGCCACCTTTGGCCACCTCGGCTTGTATGTTTGCTCGTCTGTGTCCTTGGCCAAAGATTCTACATGAGCTTAGAAAATTTCCTTTTCTAAACTACAAGCCTCAGAATTCCCCTATGGCCGTGCTGACTTGATCCTTCTGGGAGTCGTAGTCCAATGCATCAACCAAGTACATCCCTACTAACAAAAAAATTGAACAGGCATGTGCAAAATTTTCCCAAAAAGCAAAATAAGTACATATTTTTCTGTGTATAAGACTATACTTTTGTCTAAAATCTTTAGACTAAAAATTGAGGGTCGTCTTCTACACGGGAGTAAGCTGAGAACAAAATCAAGCGGAGGGGAAAGCAGGGATCAAAGCGATCCTGTAGCGCTTTGATCCCTTTCCCCCTACACTTGCTAAGCCCCACTTAGATTTCTTAATTTTGGATTAGAAAAGTGGGGGCGTCTTATACATGGAAAAATGTGGTAACTTACTAAAGAGAATAAAGTTAGAATATTGGGCATACATAATCATAAAAGCTGGCTGGATAGCTCAGTGGTTTAGATATCTCGCTGGGGAGCCAGAGGTTGGGAGTTCGATTCCACACGGTACCTCCCTGCGAGTAGAGCCAGCCTGCATAGCCTTGGGCCAGCTGCACCATCCCAGGGAACCCCAAGAAGAGAATGGGAACCCCCTTCTGATTATTCTCTGCTTGGAAAACCTTGAAAAAGGGGTCAACCTAAGTTAGAATTGACTTGACAGCACACAATACATACATATAGGGCATAAAGATTGGTGAAAGAAGTTGAGGATCACTAGTTTGTGGGAGCCTGAGAGTTTTATTGGGGGTGTGTGTCTGAAGGAAACTGCCATGCCTAGAGAGAAGACAAAATATTCTGCCCCCTCCCCCTTAAAACAGAGTTTGGAAGTTTTTGCTTTTAGACTCCAGCATCCAGAATTTCTCAGCCAGCAGGACCACAAAGCTTGCTAGCCAGGGAATTCTGGATGTCGTAGTCCGTCCAAGAAACTTCTCTAAATTCTGATCATTACTCTTAATGTGGAGTGTGGAAATGTTAAATGTTGGATTCCGATGCCCAGAATCTCCTTTGCTGGGGGATATTGGGAGTTGTAGTCCTCCTCCCAAAAATGTAACCTGCTCATGCTCCATTCTAAGAGGGCAGCAAATTTTGAGAAAAGTGGGGACCTTGCAAGTGTTCCCTAATAGGTTTCCCCCCCAAAGCTCTTAAGCACTCACCTGTCTGATGGTGTGGCTCCCCAATGCTGTCTTGGATTCACCTTGAGCAGCGACGGCCTCTTTTAAATCCACTAGGATTCCTCTCTGTTTCCAGCGGCAGCTCTAGCAGGAGGATCCCTCTGGTCTATTTGAGGATCTCTTTTCCAGCCCCAGATCTTGACTGAGGAAGGACGAGAGGAACGGAGAGATCCTGATCTCAGCCTCCTTCGGAACTGCCCAAAAATTTCTCTTAAGGTTTTCGTAGGAGCCACCTGCCATCATCTGGAAGAAGGGCAACACTGCAAGGGTTTCATAGCAGGATTTTCCGCAGCGGCAACATCCCATCCCACCTGAATGCACTTCCAGACGGGGGCCAGCCCGACCGAAACACAAAGTCAGGCGACTGCCTCAGGCGGCTGATATGGGATGGAGGCAAAAGACACATCCTTGCTACCGCTTCTGCTTTAAATCCCTGTTGAGAGCTATTTGGAAAAGACACACATCCGGAGTCTGTTATTTATTTACTTTGTTCTTAAAAAACAAAGGTAGTCTTTGCTGGGCATAAAACAAATGCCGACAGACATACAGGGATAATATCTTAATCACACCAATGAAAAAAAACACAAGTTTTAGACACCGTTAATTGCAGAGTGTCCCCTATTTGTCTGTGCAGCTGGCCCAAGGCCACCCAGGCTGGCTCTTCTCCCAGGAGGCCCAGTTGGGGAATTGAACTCTCAATCTCTGGCTCCGCAGCCAGAGACTGAAACCACTGAGCTATCCAGTCATTATTCATGATTCTTGGGTAATAAAAGCTGGTTCCTAGATGAGGCTTAACCAGAGCTCAATGGAGGGGAACTAGCACCTAACAGGATTTGGAGACTGTACTTCTGTTAAGGCGTCCTAAAATAGTATTGGCCTTTTTTGCAGCCACACTGCACTGCTGGCTCAGATAGGCAATAGCAACCCAAGGCTTTCGGAAGACAGAAATACATTTCCAATCTTGTTCTGTAGTATTCAAACTACCCCAGGTTAAAAAATTCAATGTCTCTATGCAGATGGGCCATTATGAGCAAATGAGCAACTTACTTTGAAATACCCAGATTGAATATTTTTGGACTTATACACTTGTTTATAACATCTCAAGTTAGTTTGATTTATTTTCTTTTTTTCTTCTTTCTTTCCGTCTTGAACAGTTTGATTACGGATGTTGTATATTGTTGCTATATTTAAATTGTTTTATTTTTAAGCGCTGCTAGCCGCCCAGAGTGGTCAGTTGACCAGATGGGTGGGATATAAATACAATCTATCAATCAATAAATAAATCAATCTCCTATGATGCTAACTAACGTGTCAAGCCAAATAGGTGGTTCTGATGGTAGTGGTATGGACTTCCTAGGGGGAAAAAATCACAGCCTTCTGTTAGAAATCATAGAATCAAAGAGAAACAGAGTTGGAAGGGGCCTTTGAGGCCATCCAGTCCAACCCCCTGCTCAAGGCAAGACTCCAAATCAAAGCAGATCTGACACACGGTGCTCTCCTTTTCTCTTGAAGGCCTCATGAGGTCACTGGATCCGTTATAGTACTGATCTAACAATTAGGAAGATTTTTTTCCTGAAATTCAGCTGAAATCTTGCTTCCTGTAGCTTGAACCCATTGTTACGTGCCCTGCACTCTGGGGAGATGGAGAAACACATCCTCAACAGATACCAACTGGGAGGAAAAAGGCCTGAGAGTCCCTTTCATCAGCTGAAAAACCAGAAACAAGAAGAATAGGAATGAGAGAGCAAGAAATAGATGCCGCCACTGAATTCCAAGTTCTTTCTCAAAAATTAAAGGAAGGTAGGTACACCAGGTTTATCAAGAATTTAATCTTTTGAAGGTGTTGGAGCTGCAGAGGTGGCTAACCACATCTGCAGTGAAGCCGAGGGCGAGGAGAAATTTCAGCTGTTCGAGCTCCGGATCTCTCTCTTTTTCTTTTCTTTCTCTTGTTTTGGAAGGGGAGAATGAGGTTGGCAAAAAATAATAATAATTAAGTGTGTGATGCAAATCCCACCCTCCGGGGCTATGGTTTCTTTGTCGGCTCCATGTGTATGCCACCTTTTCCTCCAGCGGTGACAGCTCTCCTCCTATCACTCCCTCCCTTTATCTTCCTAAGAGCCCTGCCAGGTTGGCCAGGCAGAGGGGTTAGGGAGAGCAACTGGCCCAAGGCCACCGTGGGCGGGGTGGGTGTTGGTTGGTTCCGCTAGGCCAGTGATCCCCAACCTTGAGCCTCCAGATGTTCTTGGACTTCAACTCCCAGAAACCCCAGCCAGCACAGCTGGTGGCAAAGGCTTCTGGGAGTTGCAGTCCAAAAACACCTGAGTCACCCAAGGCTAAGAACCATTGCGGCTAGGGAAATCAACCAGATCCCAAACGACGCGATTCCATTAAGAAAGCGCCTCCGTTTAGGTTTTCTACACGTGTTACGACGACGGGTATTGCTTTGCAGACGTTCACTTAGGAAACCTGAGTTTTTCTACCTTTTGCCACTGACAGGACCCCCCTTTTTTTTTTTTGAACTGAGAACAACGACACCCCCATGAATACAAAGGAGGCGGAGCGGCCTGCCTGAGGCCGGTTCCATGCCTCCGTGGGACACGCGTGTCCTCAGGGGAGTTACTGTACTATACTGTATTCCCGACCCGGGGAAAGATGGAGGGTGAGGAGGGGTGGGGCGCCCCTCTAAAGGGCGAAATTCCAAAATGGCCGCCCTACAAGGGCCTTCGCGTGCCCAAATTAAACATGGCTCCCGGGAACCACGCTCGTCTTCTCGCGAGACTTTGCCCACGATGGCGTCGCTATGGAAACCGGAGACGCGCCGTTAACCCTCTTCGACCCAAAAGGTAGGCCGGCGGCGAACTTCTTTTTTTCTTTTCTTTTCTTTTTCTTAAAACCGTTATTAATTTCATTTTCAGGCTTCTCTCACCCAGGGCAAGGGGGAAAAATGGTGCTTCTCCCACCCGCGCATTCACTCCCCTACCGCCGACCCCGGTCATTTTGCCGCCTGAAGCCCGGGGGGGGGGTCAGCCTTGAGCCCATCGAGTGGGTCCGGTCAGCCTTTTGGGCAGAAAGCCTGGCAAGCGGTTCTCCTTAGGAGTAAACAGTAGGGAAACCCACCCACCCCCAGTATCCGCCGGATCAGTATCCACTGATCCATCCATGGTCTGAAAATATTTGAAATATGAAAAGAAAGCTCCCCCAGAATATGTATTTCTAAGGATGGTGATGTCATTCTTGCTATTCACATAAAAAATTGCCATTGTTCCTAGAGTAATTCACATTATTTTCATGTTTAATAAAATAGACAACACCCTTATTGATGGAGTTTCTGCTGGGCAGAGGGGGAGCCTCGGCCGCCGGGCTCTCCAGAGCTTCAGAAAGTTGCTCTTTTTTTGGAATACAATTCTCAGGTTGGGGGATTTATTTATTTATTTATTTATTTATTTATTTATTTATTTATTTATTTATTTATTTAACTTATATGCCGCCCATTCTATATTTATTTAATTTATATGCCGGTCTCTGGCCGGCTTACAACAGTTAAAACACTGATTGATTGATTGATTGATTGATTGATTGATTGATTGATTGATTGATTGATTGATTGATTGATTGATTGATTGATTGATTGATTGATTGCATTTATACCCCGCCTATCTAGTCGAGCGACCACTCTAGAAGATGGCTTCCAACATACACAACATTTTTTGTTATATTTTATAACATGCCCTGTTCTTTCACTCTACCTCCTATACT